ACCACCGCAGGCAGGAGGAAGAGGAGGAGGAGGAGGAGGTGGTGGTGGTGGATAGGAAACTGAAGGTGTTATGTGTGGTGTGTTAGGTTCCTGGGCTTTAGGCAAGGTTGAAGAAGAAGAAGAAGCATCTTTCGATGGTTTCAAATCTCTTGGTGGATAAGAAGCGTACTTTGAACGGCTTGGAGTAGAAGATTTTTCAGCAGTTGCAGGTTTTTCTTTTTCTGAAGATGGAATAAGAAATTGAGCCTTAGATTTTCCCCCCGTTGAAGCACCCTTGCCAGTAGTAGCTGGTGGTGGTGGTGCGCTGTTATGTCTTGCAGATGGAGGATAATAAACATGCATTGAGTTAGTGTAAGAGCCTTTATTAGAAGGTATCCACCTAGACACAGCATCTGGCTTGGCTTTTCTTAAGGTAAGGCCCTGAGTGTCTTGCTTCTTAGATTTCTTGTTTGTGTCGACTGAATCTGAAGCAGACTTTGAACTACTGGACGCCACCATCTGTTTGTTCATCACAGTCGAGACCCCCTTCTTAATATTATTATCAGCAGCTAACTTATGTTTCGCTACAGAAGGAGCATCTTCTTCATTCTGCTTATCTCTCTCTCCTTCCAACTTACCATTATTACTGTCCAACTGACTATCCCCATTGGGCAACATAATTTTGTCCTGGTGCAAAGCACGCTCATGTCCCTGAATACCCTCATCTGATGCACAATCTTCATAAGCATGATAATTGTAACCATCCTTCAAAGATACTTCATGATGATTCCCATTGTCTGGGGAGGTTGGTTTAACTGTGTGGTTATCAGGTTCAACACTGCTGAAAATCTCTTCTGCCTCGAAAAACTCTTCTGGTGAGTTAATTTCTGCTTCATTTCCATCTTCACATGCAGCTTCTTTTGTAGTGATAATGGATGCAACAGAATCTGCATTTGAAAAGAGCACCTGATACAGCAAAATGCAATGTTAGCTCTTAAAGCTTCAAAAAAACAGAGCAAAACAAAGGCAAAACAATATATCAAGCTTGGACACAAATTTTTCCAAACAAAATCCAATCATTTTTAACCAATCACTTTTTCTAACTCAAATCCAACTCACCTTTAACTCAATCTCACTATCCTCAATATTATCAATATAATTGAATAATATCATTCAATCATTCTTACACATTACATCAACTTTAATTCACTGACATAATTTTAACTAACCATCACTTCACATCATCTCTCTCCTACTTTTACATCAAATCAACTTTAATTATTTTATTTAAATATTATTTTAATATAAACTCAAAATCCCACAAACAACTAACAATACCACTTTTTTGAATTAACCATACCAAACCAAAAAATCCAAACAAAATCAAAATATTTTATATTAAGCATTTTACCTCTGCTCTGAAATCCCTTGGAAATTGGTCCTTGGCATCCCAGAGAACATCAACATCGTCACGGGTCAGCAACATAACATTCGATCTGACAAATGCAGTATGAAACATAATTCTGAAAATCGTCTCCTCTCTCAATGTGTCGTCCTCCAAATGAATGCACTCAAGAACAATATCCCCTTGAACACGGCAATGGATATCAATTTTCACTAAGTCACACTCTTCCTGCAGCCACAGAGTACAAGAAAACATATTCAGTACTTACTATATTTCCTTCCTTACATCCTATGTCATGCGAATTTTCTTAAAAAAAAATAAAAAATCCTGGAATTACCTTCCGATAAAAACGAATATTTTTTTTCACTTTAGAACTCGAAAATAAAAGCTTGGAACTTCGACTTGATGATTTTACCGAAGGATCTTGACCATATACATGAACTACGGGTCTGCACCCTCTTCCACTACCAAGTGGAGGAAGAACTCTAAGTATAATACAATCCAAAGCCAATGGCTTATCTGACGGTGGCCACTCTGACCCAAAGATTCTTCTAGAGATGTACTGAAGGTATCTGACCTGAGATGGCTGTGGATTTAAAGGAGACAAAAGATGAAGCAGCTCTCTGGGTGCTTGTTTGTATACCATCTCAAGAGTTTTCTGCTCTCCAGTGTACTGTTTTCTATACAAAAGAAGGCCAGCAAGCATGAAAGCCAGCATGGGCCATCCTCCTCTTTCGCAGTGCATTAAAAGAACATTCTGTTGGCCCTCGAGCGATAACCAGCTCTCGCTTGATCGTAAAAAGTGATGTATCATCTCCAGTGGTAATAGAGGGCACCCTTCATATTGCCGAGGGTAATCCATTACCGTCATATCATACTGAGATAGCAAGTCGGATAACTGGCTCCTCCTTTCCCCTTCTTTGAAATTGAAGACCATGAAAGCAGCATCCGGGTAGTGATCCTGTAGTTGAGCCACAATCCCGTTCATGTACGTTCGGTATTCATCTTCATGGAGAACATCCGTGGAGAAGCAGCAATCGAAAACTGCATTCCAAGGACAAGAAATGCCATATGTCAAGATTTACAAGTCCGCACAAAATACTGGATATTATTTTCATAGAGAACATAAATATTTCAATAAAAAAAAACAAGAAATAAGAGTTTCCAGCACAGGAATCCAAAGAACACTTCATAATTATTATATTCATTTGACAGAAAAAAAAAATAAAAAAATGTGATAAATATCAAACAAAGACCATGCAATTAAGACCTTGTAAGTTGTAAAACCTCCTTAGCAATGCATGCAAATGGATTAGATGCCTAAAATGTTTCCATGCAGCCAAATAATCTTAATTACAATTTGGCACCACATGAGATATAATTTGCCTTGAATTCACAAAATTTTACAAAATCAGCAGCCCTTCTCTTTGGATAACAGAACCATAATCCGATCACAGCACAGCTTATCCTAATCAGCACCCACAAAGTGGCTGTAAATATCCCAAGTCCCATGCCAGTTAAAGACAAATAAAAA